AACATTACTGTATAACAAACACTGTGAGACTTCATCATAACAAAAATTTACCCACAATGGAATAATCACAATATTCCATCTAATTTCCTCAAATTATAAATAAAATTAATCACACAGAAAAACTTTCCACTTTTACAATAGGGGTGGGTAGTGTCAAAAACATGCAGCATATAAATTGGAAATAACAATAATAATGATAACAGCTAGGGTAATAATAATAATACAAGTGAAAATTACTGTAGGCTTGTTTCACACTGTATTGTCGATGCGGTATAGAAATCCTGGCATGTTTAAAAATATTGAATATAATGTTCTCTTTACATGATGATGATATGGTGAGGGGAAAAACAAAGATTACAGCCGGCATGGAGATAAGTTGGTGTTTGCAATTGCAAGAGTAGTTTGATTATCCGTTTCAGAAGGGCCCTTTTTGATGATGTCAGTTTAGCCCAAAACTCATATTGTGATGAGAGCTGTCTGCATGACAAAATTGTTAGACAACAATTGACGTCAATGTTACGTCTCGAATCACGGTCATGACAAAACAAGAACAAAGTCTAACCTTGAGGAACTCAACAACCAAATCACAGCAGACTTAGCGTGGGCGGATACGATTAGCAGATATGTCAACGGACTGTCTAAGAAATGGCAACAAAGAGATGACAGAATAACCGTCAGAGAGAAAACAACCAATTAGACGTTGGTTCTCTGCTAACAATAACGCTAATAATACTGAACATGAAAATCTATAAATATCGGTTGATTTTCTCAATAAACTATCTGTTGCCTGACCCTTGTCTTCTGTCGTTACAATATTATTTAACTGCTAACGAATATTTCTGCCTTTAGTTTTACAACTACTGTGGGATAAATATTTGATCAGCAAGTTGTCAGTGAACAAACAGCCGCTTGTCTGAGAAATGTAACTAATTAACTGCACCACCAATAATGATTCAGCTATTATCGTATGATTGGGTTAAAAGAAAAAGCACCCCTGTATCTCTTTTAATTGGCTTTCACAACCACATGTTTTGGAATTTCTTGAAGCAAGCTACGAAGAAATCTACGAATATATAAGGGATTGGTTTTCGCTTCAAGTCAGGAGGGAAAATATATCACGTGATTTACTGTCACAGTTACTATTTCATTGGAAGATCATGTGTGTGGATAAGGAGAAGCTATTACGCAATAATTTCTGCCGAAAATTCTGTACATTATAAAATAACTGTTCAGCATAAAGCTACTATTATTGTACAGAGCCATGTGTAAAACTTTGGCACTGTGTTAGTATGTGATCCCGTGTTAATTTATTGTACATACCACACACAGTGAAATGGTGTTATTTACTAGATGACAAAGTTTCCTACACAATCTCTATTATTGTTTATAATCATATCAATCAATTACAACCACACACACACACAACTTTGAAACTTTTGTTTTATGGTTTTCATTATTCCTTCCTATTCCTCGTAGAAGTAGCAGAATTTTTCAGATGGTCAGGAGTTGAATCACTCTCTGTTGCACGTATTCTCAGTTAATTCGATGAATAAAGCTTTTGTTATAAATGTCTCTCCTCCACCCGGCTGTAATAGATTTTATCCATCCTATTGTATGACTGAGTGTAATCGAATGTAATGCTATAGATGAGTTGTTTTTCTAGATTTCTGATCCAATTAGGACCAACTGATCTGTATTTTGCAAGGTTTTCGTGCTCCACAAGTCTGATTGATCCTGTCTTACTTCTTCCTCCAACCAGTACCATACGTCGAGCCCTAAAATAGAAATCAGCGATGACAGTGACATGATGAGGAGATTTGTGGACAGTCATAGAGATAATGGCACGAAATGTCGGTTCGAGGTTTCCTGTCGATTGCCTCCAATCATCCAGTCATGGTGACAGTTGAAAGTGATACCGCCGAATCGAGTGCGATGGAAATATTTCGCTGAAGTCTTATATTCTACCCGGAAAGCTGGGAATGAATAGTGATTGCAATTATACTAGTTCTTGTACATCAAGATACATCACAGAGCAATTAATATTATTATTATTATTGTTCCCTTGAGTTCCTAGTGGGACATAGGGCTTCAACTGCTCGTCTCCACTTGCTTCTGTCTTCCTCCTGCTGTACTTTTCATCTGCATCCATGTTAGTCCACACTGTTTCAACTCCTCTTCACACCATCTCCTCCACGTCACCCTTGCACTGACGTCCCACTCGCCGCTTCCTTTTCGGGTCCCATTCGAGGGTCTGACGCACGATGTCACCCAGTGGCCTCCTCAGCGAGTGTCCAATCCATCTCCACTGAATCTCCCGAATATTTGTTGGTTGACGATTGGTTCTTGCTTTCTTTGTTCCCAGATATAGTTTTTTGCTGGTGATTCCTTCCGGCTCGGCCATCTGATCTTCAGTATAGAGCGAAGACAGTTGTTAATAAAGGTTTGCAAAAGGCTGTTGAAAATATTCTTTGTGACCCGCCCGCCAAGTTTCTCATCCGTTCCGTATAGAAGAACTGACTGACTTGACGTTTGTATTGAAAATCCAACCGAATTTTGTTGTTGATGCTGGCTGAGTGACGAAGATTTCCAGATGGGTTTTAGTCAGGTTGATGAATGTGTTTCTCGCTTGTCTTCCCGATTCTCGCTCGATTTGACATCCTCGTCCGTTCCGACTTCCTTTAGTTGAGACAGTCATCAATGCTAGATAAGTGTATGAAGTAACCTCTTTCTCATATCCCTCCGGTTGGTGGTGATTGGCACTGGATGTTGGTGCTGTTGTTGATGTTGGTTGGTTGGTTATTTTCATAACCTCCATCTTGTCTATGTTCACCTGGAGTCCCGTCTTTGCTGGCTGCTTCTTCGATCAGTTTGTCGGTCAGTTTCCGCTTTTAAGTCTTCGATTTTGTGTGACATCAAACGTAAATCATCCACTCGCGAAATCCAGGTCTTTTAGGTTCTATAACTAAATGAATAATTTTTGAAAGAGTCAATCCAGTAATCAATACGAACTAGACTGCGTCTTCGATTGTGAAACATCGATCGTCTTATGCAGATTTCAGCAGTGATCTTACGTCCTACTGGAGATACAAGGAATGAATAAGAATAATAACAACAGTCACAATGAAGTGGAACTATCCGGATATTAAGTATAAAACCAACGTTATACTAAAAACCCAATACAGCATTCCAAACACCGTTTGACAGATACGAAAACACCTGTATACAAACACACCCTCTCTCTCTCACACACACACACATATTGTGAGATAAAATCTTTATGGCGTCAGATAAAGGCAAAAAGAGGTAGAATAAAAAGGGAAGTACAGTCAAAAAGAACAGAGGAATGAACAAAAAATGATTGAAAACAAAAAATTAATTGGTCTTATGACACGAAGAACAAACACTGATAAAAAAAGGCCAATTATACACGATTAACTCATAACACTTAACATACAGTTAAGCTGATACCTATAATTAATCACTACTACTATAATGAGCTAAAAATTTTGATAGTAATTAATAATAATGATAATAATAATTTGGTAATGATGTGACGTGTGTTACTGATAAGATCTATCAGTAGTATACGTATAACGAGATGTTCATCAACTTTACAAAAAAAATCCAATAGCAGAGAGATACATTTCATACATTCACAGTTGCGCAGATAAACAGGAGACGTGAAAAGAACACAAATAAACACAATAGGAGGGAAAACCAAAAGTAGCACAACACAAAAGATCTCTATAGTGATGAAAACATACAAAACGCAATGTTCAACTTGGATGATGGGACTCATAAAATTATGCCTTACAACATACCTTCAATTCAATACTCAAATATATGAGCAAAATAAAGGGAACACCAATGGGATCATCACCCATATCAGGATTAATAGTTGAAGCCGTTATGCAAAGATTAGAATTAATAGCTCTACCATCCATAATTAAACCGAAACTATGGACAGGTACGTTACGTTGATGATACACTAGTAATAATTAAGAGAAATGATTTAGAATATACCCATAAATAATTAAACAACATATTTGAAGGCATCAAATTCCCAAGAGAAGAAGAATTAGATTACAAAACCCTATTTTTAGAAGTCTTAATCAGGAGAACCAACACAGGAAATCCAGAAACACAAGTATATAGAAAATAAACGCCCACACACAGATCAAATACTCAACTATTCTAGCAATAATCCAATTACTCATAAAAGAAACTGTGTGCACACATTGTTTAAAAGCATTCAAACACACTGTAGCACAACTCCAGTGTTGAAGAGAAAGAACACATCACCAAAGATCAAAAAGAAATTCATCCTACCATACATCAGAAATATCTCTGTAATAACGGCTAGAATAATGAAACCGTTTGATATAGATGTAGCACACAAACCAGCCGAATCGCTTAATTCGATCTTATGCAAACTAAAAGATCCAACAGAAAAAGGAGATAAAATTAACACCATTTACAAAATAAATTGTATGAACTGTAACAAACATTACATCGGTCAAAGTGGGCGTCCCCTTCGAATAAGAATCCAAGAACACAAGTCAGCCGTGAAAAGACATGATATAAATGCTTTAGTATCAGTACATACAGATAATTATGGACATCAATTTGATTGGGATAATGTCAAAATCGTAAACAGAGGAAACACCAAATATGCCAGGGAATTCCTAGAAGCCTGGTATTCAAACGAAAATGCCATTAGTAAACACGTTAATATAGATGAAATATATCAACTAATAAAAAGTAAATCAGGTGACCAGAAAGTTTAAAATCCCAATCAATAGAAAACAGTTAATACATATGTGAAGATGGTTGGTCACCAGGAGACGCAATTGTATCATCATTCATGGAGATTTTTAAATCATTTAACTTTATGTTAAATACTGCGGTGAAGATGCCGTCCAGAAAGACGACGAAAGCTCCACAACTAAACCAACCAGCTCAGAGAACACTATTAATTACAAAAGATCTATGTAAATGGTTCACTGAAGATGGGGTTTACATAATTTGGCTATATAGATATACCAATTTCCAAATAAATATTCCTTTACCAAGTCTTTCGTCTTCTACCGTTAGAGTAATACGAATAAACCACCGAAACAGCGAATAAAAAGGAATATCTTTTTTTAAATAATCAACCTATATGTACACTAATGTCACATCCGAGAGTCCTTCTATATGATTCAAAGACTTTCGCTGTACTTCAAGAGAGGCCATTCTAATAGACATGAGGGATTGACTCGTGAAGAGCAGGCTGGGTTTCGTTCAGGTCGTGGATGCATTGATCATGTGTTCACCCTTCGTCAGTTGTTGGAACACCGTCACACGTATTGCAGGCCAACGACCGTTGTGTTTCTTGATATTAAGGCTGCCTTCGATTCGTTGGACAGAACTGTGCTCTGGAACTGTCTGTTAGAGAGGGGTGCACCTGAGAAGTTTGTTAACATCTTGAAAGCCCTATACAGAAACACCTTAGGTAGAGTGAAGGCACATAACCAACTATCATCACTGTTCCCAACCAAGAGTGGGGTTAGACAGGGTTGCCTAATCTCCCCATTTCTCTTTAACTTTGCTATCGATGACATTCTGGAGTCAGCTGTGAAGGATGTGCGTGAAGGTGGTGTAGATCAGCAACGTGGAGATAGACTTTTCGACTTCGAGTATGCAGACGATATCGTCTTACTGTGCGATAGCATGCAGGCTGCCCAAATCGCGTATCTGCATCTCCTTGTGCCCTACAGTCGTCTTCAGATATCTCCACGACTGCCCGTAGGCTCTGAAACTCCCTCCACACATCACTGTTGGACTCATGCCCAACTTATTGTTCCCCATTCAGGCTCCATTTGAGACTGCATGATGTCACCCAACAGTTTCCTCAGCATATATCCAATTATTATCCATTTTCTCTGGTATATTTATTGGATAATAGGTTCTTTGTTGGTTCATTCATTGAGTTCCTTCCTAAATAACACCTTCTTGCCGGGATTATTCGATTTTTGGTGTAGAACGTCTGTAGGTATAGTATGTACTTTGCGCCGTCTAAGTGTAAAGTACTGTTACAAGATTGGCACGAGCCTGTACCTCCACTCACTCTTGCGGGTGAACCGCTTGAAGATGTCGATAATTTTGTGTATCTGGGGAGTCGTGTGAGTGTTGACGGAGGGGTGGCGGATGAGATTTTCAAACGTATAATGAAGGCTATGGTGGCATACATCATCTTGAGCCACCTCTGGCGCCGTCGCGATGTTAGCCTGGCTGTCAAAGGTCAGGTATACAATGCTTCGGTGCGGGCTGTCTTGCCCTACACCTGTGAAACCTGGCTTCATTGTGTGAGTAATTCTGGGGCCTGGTAACGTGTGTTTGAACACAGTGGAGATCACCATTCATTGAGTGTCGTCATCTGGAAATACCGGCTCCGGTGGCTTGGACATGTGCTCCGAATGTCACCCCAGAGGCTTCCGTACAGGACTCTGTTCGCTAGCCTGCTTTGCGACGGGATGGAAAAGCTGGAGGGGTGGTCAGTCCATGACGTGGCGTCGTTGGGATGAAGGATGTTTGTTCTAGATTAGCATCGGTTGGTGCTTCACGACTCCCTAGTTGGGGTCCGCGAAATAGCTCGAATCGATGGCTAGAAACGTTATCGGATATGGCCAAGAATCGTAATCAATGGCGAACGTGTTGGAATTTCCTTCTTTCTTCCCTTCCCGTTGATAATTAACGAATACTGTTCGAACTTGTTAAGCAAGACTGTTTTCCTTCCAGATGAAGTTCTTTATCCGTTCTCTACTTATATTTTTTACCTTTGATCTATGTTGTATTATTATTATTGTTTGGCGCATCCTTCATGGTGCCATAATTTTGTACCAAAATTTTTCTGCGTTTAAATAAAATACTCTGGCTTTCAGCTTGGAGCATGTCCTGTTACCTATTTACGAGGGTGAGGTTGATGGCCTGACGTACAACTTCCCCTATCTACCGACGAACCTGCTACTGGCTGAGCAAGATATACCAGTGCATCCATCGGCCAGAAATCAAACCTTTACCTCATGGATTTGCATACATCCCATAGATTACGCAATAAATCCAAGGTGAACTGAATTTTGTTAAATATATACCTTTTAGAGAAGTGCAGTGGTTCAACTTACTATACTATACACAAAAACACATAAACGCATGAATAATGCAGAAAAAAAAGAGTGAGAAACATCGAAAAGCACGACGGGGAAAAATAATTACATAGAGAATAATCATGAGGTAATGAAACTGGGAGCCCATAAAGTGTGAATATATACGTATGCGTCACTGCGAATGATTTTGAGCTGTGTCACCAATCATCTCTAAGCTCTGGATTTTAGCTTCTCAAAGGAACCACACTAGACAGTCTGCACCCCACATAAGTAAAATCGACAGTCAAATACTTGATGTATTTGTTTGCCAAGTTTCTTGATGTGAGCGACAGTTACAAGAGATATTACTAAGTATGCACAGATGGTTAAGCCTGTCTGTCTATCTGTGTGTTTATAATAAAGATGTCTAATATAGTCATTAGTGTATAATTACGGTAATTAAGAATTTTACACAGACTGAGAAATCTTAGTCTGAAATATATGGAAATGAAGGTAGCTGACTTACATCACACAAAAGTCAATCACAAACACCCACACGCACGTGCACGTGCACTTGCTTTCTCCCACTCCTTTCCACTACTTACAATTAGTCATTATTCAAACAATTAAAGAAAGAAAGAGATAGAGACGAAAAGTGCGTGAGTGGCAGCATTATGCTACACAGACTACTTATAATAAATGGGGTAAATTGAACACGTAAAATGCACGAAAACCTTTTCTTAACAAACAACACAATAGAAAAAGAAGCACTTTACATTCCTTCACAAGATATTTATAAATCCTTTGGAGTTACATACAGCCTCAATGAACAAAAATGAGAAATTAGACGACACTACTGAAGACATTAAAATGTCACTCAATTCAGTTGCTCGTTCACCAGCAGCACAAAATGAGAACACCAAACTACTGCCTGTTTCATTATGAGCTGATATCGGTCAGAGAACCATTGGAAAACCAGTCAGGGAATTACTGGACAGCTGTTTCTGTGATCCTAGTTTGGGACTGATGAGCGCAAGCAGTACACATCCACTGCCACCATGGCTCGAGCCCAGGACTTTCTGGTTACGAAGTGACCTCGTAGACCATTCAGCCAGACTGACTAGTGGTGTCCATCAATGATGCCCATTATCTCCATTCCTATTCAATTTCATCATAGATGTACTAATGGAATTAACCCTAACTCACTTCAGAGACTCAGGGATTGACTTGCTACCAGGGAATAATCTCGTTGACTCAGAATATGCAGACGATATAGTCCTTCTAGGCGAGGATGCTGACAAAATCCAGCAGAGCCTGCTAAACACCTTGAGCTGCAATCTACGAATGTTTAGCATGCGATTCGCCCCTGCAAAATGTAAGATGATGGTACAGAACTGGACTACACTGAATCCTAGTTTAAAAATAGGGAGTGAAGTGGTAGAGCACGTTGACCGCTTCACTTATTTGGGAAGTACCATCAGCCAGTGCCAACGGGTTGATCTCTGACGAAATCTCAGCACGGATACAAAGCGCTGTCCATCCCTGTCTGGATTCAACATAGAACTTGTCACCGAAGTGCACCAGTTCCAGTTGCCACATTCCAAATATCACACAAAGGTAGACAAGAAGATAACGAGGGAAGAGAATCAATAGAGATTGACAAGTATAAGAGTGAAACAGAATGGGTAATAGTAGAAAGAAATATGAAAGATTACTGAGACTGAATACATCTGCGCTGGCCCTTGAAAACGATCACTTTGAGCCATGTCACTCACCTATTGTCTCCAGCCACTGATTCCTAGAGTCAGTCCCGAGGGCCCCAACCGGGAAGTCTGCATCTCCTACCCTACCTGACTCAGTTTAACTGTCAAGGATTTCATGGATTGATGAGGCCATGTTTTTGTTTGGCCACCACTTATTCTTTTCCAACCTGCACCTATATCAGCTAGCAATGCCCGTCGGGGGAGGCGAGGGTTAGGCATGCGCAGCACGTGACCTAGCCATCTTAGTCTATGTAACTTTATAGCCTCGTCAATTGAGTTTCCCTCTTTGCCCAACACTCTACGCCTAACGTCAACATTACTTACCTTATTAAACCACCTAACCTGAGACAGAGATCGCATACATCTATGATCGAAAGCAGTCAACCTTTTCATGCCTTCAACGCGTATTGGCCATGTTTCAGAGCCATAGAGAAGGACGGAGCGAACTTCTGAGCAGTACACACGTCCCTTGGTTCATAACCGGATGTCACGCCTACACCAGAGATGGTGTAAGTCAGCGAAAGCAGCTCGAGCTTTTCGGAACCGTGGTGAGATTTCATCGCCAATCCGTCAGTCCGTTGGTGCTGATGCAACTTCCCGAATAGGTGAAGTGGTCAACATGTTCTATCACTTCACCCCCTATCACTAAGCCAGGAGTTGACGTGGTCCAGTCCTGTAGTAGCATCTTACATCTTACAGGAGCAGGCGAATCGCATGCCAAACATACGAAGATTCCTGCTCAGCTCAAGGTGTTCAGAAGACTCTGCTGGATTTTGTCAGCATCCTCCCCTAACAGGACTATGTCATCTGCATATTCTAAGTCCATAAGACTATTCCCTGGTAACAAGTCGATTCCTAAGTCATTGCGTTCAGTTAAGGATACTTCCATCAGCATATCTATGATGAAGTTAAACAGAAATGGGGAAAGTGGACATCCCTGTCGGACACCACTGGTTATCAATTCAGATGACAATTCCCCATAAGCCCTTACACGACTACGTGAGTTTGAATAGAGTACCTTGATTAGCGGGCTAGTTTCGCATATGCCAGTTTACTCCGTCTCTGACGCAAACGTGATATCCGGCTGGGTGTCGACCAAAGGGCGTGTGTACTGCTCATCAATCCGCTCCATCCTTCTTTAAGGCTGTGAGACCTGACCATTGAAAGTGGAAAACATGAAAAGATTAGCTGTCTTTGATCATAGGTGCCTGCGTTCTATCTCCCGTGTAAAGTGGAATAATAAGGTGAGCAATATTGAGGTTAGGCGTCGAGTGCAAGGTAAACAGGGGAAATCAATCGACGAGGCTGTGAAGCACCTGTATCGATTGACGTGGTTACGATATGTGTTACAGATGCCTAGTCATCGACTTCCTCGACGTCGATGGGCAATGATAGCTGACATAGGGTCAGGCTGGAAAGGAGAAAGCCAGTGGTGATCAAACCAAAACACGGAACCAGTCAATGAAGTTCACAACAGTTAGTCTAAGCCATGTAGGAAGGTGCAGACATCCTGGTTGGGGTCTTCAGGATGGTAGAAATCAATGGCTGAGAACAATTGGTGATATGGCTCAAAATCGTTCTCAATGACAGCGCAAATGCATCCACTCCTTGTGATTTATGATTTCCAATGAAACTATACTGTTCTTTGTTATTACTATTCCTTTTGTCTCGTATCCCTGTCTACTGTCCCTGTTTAGCATTTCTCTTTACTTTCTTTTCTTGCTTTGAGTGCTACATGGAGTGGAGTATGGCGCTTGAACTGTTGCACATCGGTGCAAAGTTCTATGTTGAAAACAGACAGATAAACACTGGTACCTGGGCCCAAACTAGAATGAGACAGTCGTCCAGTACTACCAGGCTTTTCACATACATTTATTGCACACATTTGAAAAAGCAGAAAACATGATACCTGGCAACAAAACAGAATAACTACATTATAAGCACACGTACATAAACACGAAAAAGAAGGAAAGACATGAAGAAAAAATGTATGTATATACACGGCTAGGTATGCGGAACTCACCTCAACACTTTTTGTATCACAGTTAATTACCAAAGCGGTAGCTGACCATTTTGGATGCTTAAATTGACGACTACTCAGCCTTTGATGTGAATGATTCAATTTAAACGATGATGATGATGTGCTAGGTTGTCCAGAATAGACATCAGGCACTATTTTAACATTACTATTACTAGTATTATTGTTATTATTATTATTGTTCATCAACGATAGACTGTTAAAATCGCTTACAACCAATGGACCATATGTAAGCCATTGTATTAAATTCTCTTCTAAACGTGATTTAAAACTATCAGGTGATTCAGTGGTTGCCTGTAACACATGTCCCGTATGATAGATATCAGATACAGTGGCAGATATCAATGAATGATTGACAAATGTTTGATAGGCAGATCGATGATGAAGTGAATCCAAGTTGTGCTGTTGTTGTAGTTGTTGATGGTGCCGGTCAGTATCTGCATAAATTCCTGACAACGATGACGATGATGATGGCATATTAGTATTATTATGATTATCAATCAAACTGGATAGATTACATCCATCAATCGATTTCGATGTTGATGGAACCATCTCTTGATTACCAACCCCACCCCCACCACGTGTTTGTGATGCATAAAACATTTGTTTTGATGAACGATCTACAGATTGTGAACTGATACGTAAATACGATGAGGATAATGATGAAGAGGCAGAGGAGCAGGCAGAAGCCGAGGAAGAGGATGTCTTTACATTATACTGATGAGGATGAGGATGATGATAATGATGTTCTGATACATGCATAGTTGTATTGGTGGTGTATGTTGTTGAACTAGAATTACTTCTTCCTCCACCAGGGGATGTGGTTGTTGCCGCTGCCGTCGTCAATGAAGTAGAATATCGATTACTGGTTGTAGTAGTCGGTGGAGGTGGATTCATATTATAACCTGGAATAATCTCTGTTGGTAAACAACTGCACAATTCTTCGTCACCATCAAAGTATTTTCTTGAAAAGATCCATGACAAAAAGAGACAAAAAAAAAGATTAGATAAAACAGGCTAACGAGAAAAAGTGAGTGAGTGAGTGATTGAGTGAATGAGAGATAAACTTAAAAATCATGCATTATCTTAATGGATGAACACAATACAATAAACAATAACAAAAAGATTAGCCTTAAATGATGCAAGGCATGTGATAATTGATCACCCTCATCATTATCATATGCACTTCTACGTAATAGCAGATATAAAATTAAATTATGATACGGATAATAATAATAATAATAAGCATTAAAGAGATGTGCTTAAATGGTGTTCAAAAGAAAAAGGAATAACAACAACAGAGGCTTATCTAGAATTGTTTTTAAATAATAATAATGATAAAAAATAACTGCAGAAAAAAAACAAACAAAAAATAAGCCCGTTTACAGAGAGAGAGAGAGAGAGAGAGAAAAGGGGAAAAATAATAACAATAGAATTATTATAATTATATCTTTTAATTCCTAAAGGAAAATAGGGCTTCAGCCGTGCATCTCCATTGCCTTCGGTTTTCTGCCAACTTTTTCACTCCACTCCAAGTCTGCCTACACACACGCTTTCATCTCCTCTTCACATGACCTCCTCCAAATCACCGAACCCTCGCACTGATGACCAACTCGCTGCTTCCCATTCTATCGGGTTCCACTGGAGCGATGGCTTGTCTAGTGATGTCACTTGATGGTTTGTTTTCTCAGAGTATGGCCAATCCACATAACTCCATTTCTTCCTCCATATTTGTTGCACAATCGGTTCCTACTGGGTTGGTTCGCTCATTGCCAGAGATCCCTGTTGCTGATCTTTTCTGACCGGCGATCTGATCTTGACTATTGAGGGAAGACAACTGTTAATGAAGGTCTGAAGTTTGCTTGAGATGCTCTTTATGACGCGCCAAGTCTCTGATCCGTATAGTAGTGCTGACTTCACATTGGAGTTGAAAATCTGGATCTTATTTTTGATGCTGAGTTCTGTTGACTTCCACACAGACTTAAGAGTAGTGAAAGCTATAAAAGTTACATAGATTGAGATGGTTAGGTCACGTTCTGCCCATGCCTAACCACCGCCTCCCCCGACGGGCATTGCTAGCTGATATAGGTGCAGGTTGGAAAAGAGCCAGTGGTGGCCAAACAAAAACATGGCCTCATCAATCCATGAAATCCTTGACAGTTAAACTGAGTCAGGTAGGGAGATGCAGACTCCCGGGTTGGGGCCCTCGGGACTCTAGGAATCAATGGCTGGAGACAATAGGTGAGTGACATGGCTCAAAGTGATCGTTGTCAATGGCCAGCGCAGATGTATTCAGTCTCTGTAATCTTTGATATTCCTTTCTACCATTACCTATTCTGTTTCACTCTTATACTTGTCAGACTGTATTGATTCTCTTCACTCATCTTCTTGTCTACCTCTGTGTGCTATCTGGAACGTGGCAACTGGAACTGGTGCACTTCGGTGAGAAGTTCTATGTTGAATTCAGACAGACAGACTTCTCCAAAAGGTATATATTTAACAAAATTCAGTTCATATTAGATTCATTGCGTAATCTATGGGATGTATGCAAATCGCCATGTGACGGAGATTTGATTTCCGGAGGATGGAGCACTGGTAAATCTCACCTAGCCAGTAGCAAGCTTGTCGGTATTATTATTATTGCTCCCTTGGATTCCTAGTGGAACATAGGGCTTCAACTGCACGTCTCCATTTGCTTCTGTTCTGCTGTACTTTCCACCTGCATCCATGTTAGTCCATATTCTTTCAACTCCTCTTCACACGATCTCCTCCATGTCACTCTTGCACTGACGTCCCACTCGCCTCTTCCCTTTCGGCCTGGTTCCACTCGGGCAATGGTTGACGCGCGCGATGTCACCCAGCGGTCTCCTCAGCGAGTGTCCGATCCATCTCCACTGCATCTCCTGCATATTTGTTGGGCGATTGGTTCTTGCTTTGTTTGTTCCCATAATTCCTTGTTGGTGATTCTTTTCGGCCTGGCCATCTGATCTTCAGCATAGAGCGAAGACAGTTGTTAGCGCGTCGGTGGTATAGCGGTCAGGAAGCTCGCCAACCATGCGCATAGTCCGGGGTTCGATCCCCGGCCGACGCACTCCTTTAACCTCGCCAGATACTAGCTTGCTAGGCCACTAGCTTACTAGTTTTCTAGCCGGTCCCAAGCCCGGGTAAAGAGGGAGGGTTGGGGCGTGGTGCTAGCAACTCCACCCCTGTAAAACAACCAAATCGCTACAGAAACTTCAACGAATAAATGTATTAAAAATTCTAAAAACACAAGCTTGTCGGCAGATAGGTAAAATTGGACGTCAGGCTATCAACCACCCTCTCCGTGAAACTTCAAAGCTCTAAGCTTAATGTCCCAGAAAGAAACACAAAAATTGCACAGGATTAGGATATAATTGTAAAATAGTTATATTTTAAACGAATTACAAAATGTGAGCAGGGAAAGCATGCAAAAAAAACCTTAAAATAACTGTTCTTTTATGGAGGATTTCATCATGAGTTGACCTTCAGTTAGAGAACCACTGGAAAACCATCTAGGAGTACTGGACAGCTGTTTTTATGGTCCTGGTTTGGGACTCTTCAGCAGAAGGCACCCACCGGGGTTCGAAACTTTAAGGAAATCCTCCATGCAGTCAAACAAAATCCCTACAAAACCAATACTTGAAAACTGTTCTTATAATTAAAAAATGGGGGGGTCAATCGAATGAAGAGAGAGAGAGTAAGAATCACCCACACAGCGAACAAAAAGTGATCAGGAAAAAGAAAACGAAAGGAGAAAGTTTGCGTTTCCCTTCTTCTTACTTACTTCAAGCCTGAGCAGCCAAGGAATATCACCAGCTGTTATACAATACAAGCTTGACTGATAGGCCATATATCGAATGCTTAATTTGTTCCTAACTAACTAATTAACCATTTGCATCTCAATTCAGTTGCTAATGAACCAATCTTATTGTATTAGGACTAGCAGCTATCTCCTTCATACTACCACCTGACTGCCTGAGCCATGGTCGACAAAACGAGTTTCCAATCAACTAGCCCAGTGTGGATGAAAGTCGTGAGGCCACAACATCAACCGAGGAAGATGTGACCTGGTTGTGTGAGTCTTTAGCGTGGGGAACTGTGCAAAAACAAAAATGCAGCAAACACATACACACAACACACACATATTTACTTACTCAATCAACAGGGGAACTTCAGTATACCGTTGCCGATATGAACGTGGTGAATTCGATAGACACGATCCACCGATACTACCATCTGATAAAACTGATATCTCAGTTGAATGTGGTGAACTATGACGAAAGGAGCAATAATAATAATAACAATAAATGACGATAATAAAAGTACTGACAATGACTTTTTTCAAAATAACAACGATTAAAAAAACACGTTAAGAGAATAAAAGCGATACAATAACACAATATTACAATATACAAATTAATTATACAACTCAACAATTAGATAATTGATTTTAATCTTTTTTTTCTGTCAATGGACTGACTGTCGTGGATGTGTGTGTGAGAGAGAGAGTGTGAGCGTGACAAACGACAAATCCGGTCAAATTGTCATTTGATGCATAACCCTTGATGAATGATTTTTGAATAATAGTACCCTTCTCTCTCTCTCTCTCTGTATATACATATACGTATGTGAAAGCCATGAATTATGCATTTGAAGCGAGTGATGAAATGACCAAATCGGACCACTTTATGCCGAGAGGTTAAGGTGAAACTACTCTATAATATGCATATATGCATATATATAAATGCATACAGTTATATACATATATACATATATATGCAAATATAGACGAAGGACACCTGACTACAAAATATGATGAAATTTTACCACCAAAAAAGGTAATAATTGTCATGTTACAATGAACGAATGAATGAATGGTTGACTGGTTGATTGATTGATTAACTGACTGAATTTCAATTCATATAGAACTTTCCAACGAAGCAAAGAGTATGAAAAAGGCTTTAACAAGGTTATAGACTCATTAGGGTAACGACAGGCTGTCAAAAGTAAAACTGGAAGTTAGGTAACTGTGTTGTAGGATGTTAGCCTAACATTTAGCATTTGTCTCTGTCTGTCTGTTTTCGACATTGAATTCTGCACCGATGTGCAGCAGTTCAAGTCACCACACTTCACCCCATGTAGCACACAAAACAAGAGAAGAAAGTAGAAGAAATGCATAATAGAGACAGTAGACAGAGGTGTGTGACAAAAATAACAGTAATAACGAAGAACAACATAGTTTCATTGGAAATCATAAGTCACAGGGAGTAAATGCATCTGCGCCAGCCAGTCATTGAGAACGATTTTGAGCCATATCACCAATTGTTTCCAACTATTGGTTTTTACCGTCCCGAGGACCCCAACTAGTCAGGAAGTCTACACCTTCTTACGTGACTGGCTTAAACTAACTGTTGTAGATTTCATTGACTGGTTCCATGTATTGGTTTGACCGCCACTAGCTCTTTTCCAGCCTGACCCTATGTCAGCTGACATTGCCCGCCAAGGAAGGCGATGACTAGGCATGTGTAACACATGTCCTAACCATCACAGTCGATGTAGCTTGACAGCCTCGTCGATTGATTTCCCCTCCTTACCTAGCATTCGACGCCTAGGTGCTAAATTACGCCACCTCTGGCTTACTAGATGTGGTATCCAGTTGGTAATCGATCAAAGGATGTGTGTACTCGTCGACAGTTCGCTCTATCTTCCTTTACGGATGACTATAAGACACAAACATTAAAAGTAGAAGAAATATGGGAAGCTTGGCTAGCTGTATTTTATTTATCATAGGTGTCTGATGTTCTATCTCACGTGTAAGATGATATCATAGGGTGACTGACCGACATAGAGGTTAAGCGTCGAGTGCCAGGTAGGTAGGTGGGAGGGGAAATCAGTAGACAAGATTGTGAAGTTACATCGGCTGAGATGGTTGGGACATGTGTTACGCATGCACCAATAGTCATCACCTTGCTCTCGACGTCGATGGGCAATGTTAGCTGACTGATATAGGATTGATTAGGTCGGAAAAGAGAAAGATACCGGTAGTCAAACCAAAACATGACCTCATCAGTCAATGAAATTCACAAGAGTTAGTTGAAGCCATCCAGGTAGGAGGAAGATGTAAACTGGCTTCCTGACTGACTGGTTGGGGTCCTCGGGATGGTGGTAAGTAAGAATCAACGAAGGCTGCAGACAATTGGTGATATGGTATCGAAGTGATCGTCCTCAATGGCTGGCCGGTGCAGATGCATTAAATCCTTGTGACATATAGTACCCAAATGAAACTATATTGTTCTTCGATATTATTATTATTCTTTTTTGCCACATATCTTTGTTTACTGTCACTACTTTTGCATTTCTTTTTACTTTCTTCTCTTGCTTTGCAAGCTACATGAAGTGTGGCGACTCGAACTGTTGCACATCGGTGCAAAGTTCCATGTTGAAACCAATTAGTCATTCAGTCAATCATGGTAACCAAATTACCTCTGTGGAGGAGACACTTTGAAGAGCAAATCAACTGGTCTGCCCTCACACTCCAGTTGTCTACCATCTGGTAACTACATGAAAGAAATAGAGACATCGATCCTCCAAATATAATTGTCTGTCTGTCTGTTTTCGACATAGAACTTTGCACAAATGTGCGGAAGTTCAAGTCGCCACATTCCGTGTAGCACGCGAAGCAAGAGAAGAAAGTACAAGAAAAGCATAATAGAAACAGTGAGCAGAGGTGTGAGACAAAGGAGTAATAAAGAAATACAAAACAGTTCCATTGAAGATCATAAGTCACAGGGAGTGGATGCATCTGCGCCACTGAGAACGATTTTGAGCCATGTCACCAATTGTTTCCAACCATAGATTTTTACCGTCCCGAGGACCCCAGCCTGGAAGTCTACACCTTCCTACGTGGCTAAGACCAACTGTTGTGGATTTCATTGACTGATGCCAAGTTTTTGTTTGACCGCCGCTAGCTTTTTTCCAGCCTGACCCTATATCCGCTAACATTGCTCGTCGAGGGAGGCGATGGCTTGGCATACGTAACACATGTCCTAACCATCTCAGTCTTTGTAGCTTCACGACTTCGTCGATTGATTTCCCCTGTTTACCTAGAACTCTACGCCTAACCTCCATGTTGCTCACCTTATTATGCCACTTTACACGGGAAATAGAACGCAGGCACCTATGATCAAAGACAGCTAGTCTTTTCATGTCTTCCACTCTCAGTGGCCAGGTCTCACAACCATAAAGGAGGACGGAGCGGACTGATGAGCAGTACACCCGCCCTTTGGTCGATAGTCGAACATCTCGTCTACGCCAGAGTCGGCGTAAACTAACAAATGCGAAACGAGCCCCCTGTATTCGTGCTGAGATTTCGTCAGAGATCAGCCCGTTGGGGCTGATGGTACTTCCCAAATAAGTGAAGCGGTCAACGTGCTCTACCACTTCACTTCCTATTTTTAAACTAGGCGTCGATGTAGTCCAGTCCTGTAACATCATCTTGCATTTGGCGGGAGCGAATCGCATGCCAAACATTCGCAGATTGCGGCTCAAGGTGTTTAGAAGACTCTGCATTTCGTCAGCGTCTTCGCCTAGAAGGACTATATCGTCTGCATATTCCAAGTCAACGAGATTATTCCCCGGTAGCAAGTCAATCCCTGAATCGCTGAAGTCACCTAGGGTTAAGTCCATTAACACATCTATGATGAAGTTGAATAGAAAAGGAGATAATGGGCATCCTTGACGGACACCACTGGTCGTCATCAGTTCAGATGACAGCTCGCCGTAAGCCCTCACCTGGCTGTATGAGTACGAGTAGAGTGCCTTAATCAGTGCAATATATTTTCTTGGAATTCCCTTTACAGCCAAGCATCTCCAGAGAACTTCCCGATCGACAGAGTCGAATGCTGCCTTTTAGTCAAGAAATATAATGACTGTTGGACGCCGGTAGGAATGCCTATGTTCTAGAATCTGTCGGAGGGTGAAGATATGATCAATACACCCTCTTCCTGGTCTAAAGCCTGCCTGGCTCTCTCGTGTTTGTGCTTCCCGAGCACCACTCAGTCCACGCATGATTATTGAGCCTAAGACTTTAGAAACTAAATTAGTCAAGCTAATCCCTCTGTGATTATCACAGGAAGACTTGTCTCCCTTCTTGTATATGGGGATAATCAGTGACTTACACCAACCCGATGGGACTTCTTCTGATTCCCAAACGCTGCCTAGTACCTCAGTTAATCTGGACAGTAAGCTGTCTCCACCGTACTTAAATACCTCTGGCGTCATTCCATCAGGTCCCGCTGCTTTGCCTAGTTTCAGATTGGTGACAGCTTTAGTAACCTCAGTTAGTGACGGAGGACCTGTGTCTATATCCCATTCAGGGAGGTGTTGGATGCTCGGAAGGTTGAGCGTGGCTGTGGGCAAATTAAACTGCTCCTCATAATGCTCTTTCCAACGATCCAGTCGTCTATCCTGGAGCTAATTATAGTGCCATTTTTTTCCGAGATTGTCTCACTAATGATTTGTCTTCTCCCACCCGTTTCCCTGATGAGTCCAAAGAGTTGCCTGGTGTTGCCTATCCTCAAAGCTTTCTCCATCTCTTTGGCTTTTGTCGCCCACCACTGTTCACGGTCCTTGCGGAGACTTTTCGTAAGTTTCCTCTTGTGCAGCTTTCGCTCCTCATTGAATTCGGAGCTCGCCGGAATAAGTCTTCTAGCATCTATCAGTTCGGATGAGGCGGTGGAGATCCAGTGGTTTTTACTCACCTTTGGGTTTACCTTATTCACAGCTTTTACAGCTGTATCTATGGCTGCCTGGATATTTTTCCAAGCTTCTTCAGGGTGAGCACAGCTGTCGAACACAGATATGTGTTTAGCTAGTTCTTCCTGAAATACGGATTTAGTTTCCTGATCGAGCTGGGGACGTGATGGTTTTACCGCCAGCTGTTTCCTACGTCCGTTCAGTCGTAAGCACACCCGAGCGCGGACCAGTGCATGGTCGGTATCTACGCACGTGTTCCAGAAGGAGCGACAATCTCCTACCGACCCACGCCAACGATAGCTTATTGCTATGTGGTCTATTTGTGTCCAGCGTTGGTTTGATGAAGGGGGTCTCCAAGTCAAACAGTGTCTCTCCTTGTGTTTGAAGTTAGTGCTTACAAGAAACAAATGATTATCAGAGCAGAACTGTAGGAGACGGTCACCGTTGTCGGTTCGCTGGCACGGAACTCCATAGGTGCCACCGACATCCTTCTCAGATTGACACAATTTCCCTACTT